AATATATAAATATAAGTATACATGTTGAAGGTGCATGTCCTAAATTTTTACTTACTGGTGTAAGCCATCAAAATGATTGAAAATTATTATACTAATAGGTTCATGTCAAATATATTTGGTTGCTACATTCCAAATTAAGCTGTCTAAAAATATACTTATCAATTAATCCGATATCATCACTTTTGCAGGAGTTTTATAACAGCAAAATCAGATCTAGATTTTTCATGATTTCAATCAGCCACTCAAAAATGTCATAAGAGAATAGTTACTAAGGAGATCAGAATCTTCCCATTTGGGAAACATTAAGCAAATATTTTTAAAATATTGCTTTTTCTAAATTGGTAACTTGATTCTAAACATTGAACTTTAAAAGTCACAGGAACATTTAAAATATCATTTATCCCTCTTTAGTAGGTAGGGGCTTATATTTGCTATTAAGACATATCCCCTCATTTCTTTTTGTGAAACATAAAAATCTTTAAATACATGAGTAATAGATATAAACCTCTTGTTCTCTTAATTTCTTTATGGTTCTTGTGTAATATAACACATTATTTTTCTTGTGCCAGTATGTCATAAGCCAAGTTGTACATTGTTAGCAAGTATGCAATGAATAACAGATAATTCTTATAATTTTATTTTTCAAGATTATTTTCCCCTCCCGAGTCATGCTATTTATTTCTTTGGGTTTTGTTTGTTAGTGTATTTGTGCCTAGTAGATGCACACAGCATGTTCCCTTTAAAAATACAGCATTCATTCTACTTACCAAACTATTCCCTGAGCCCCAGAGCCAATAGGCTTTAGATTCTGGTAGCGCTTGAGAACTGTGAAGGTTGAGTCTCCCACTTCCACACTGTAGAACTGGTTGTCAACTTTGCTTTTGCTCATGTTGTAATGTTTGGCAATATATGACACATCCACTTGTTTATCGAATCCCTGTCAAATAGAAGGACAACAAAAACGTGAAGAATTGAACAAGCCGAAATGATGAGATGTAGAGAAGCATGTTCTTTTAATGATTACTAATACTAAGCCATCTATCATCTAGTTCATGAAGTTCACATAGAAAAAATTACGTATTAATCCACACAAGATTACCTGGAGTAAAAGAGCTTAGAAAAAACGATGCAAAGGAATCTTTTTCAATATCAAAACTTTATAACAGAAAAATCTTAGATTTGATTCACATAATCCTCTCAGAAGTGTCCCATTAAAACAATTCATCTATGCAACAAACATCTCCTAAACATGTACTGTCTCAGAGACTGTACTAGGTATTTCACGATTCAAGTAAATAAGACAGAGGAGGTCATGGATCATCCTTTATAATAGTCATATGAGGAAAAATGAAAGATTGTATCTATAGCCCTTACTTAGAAAAAAACTAAGTGAAGTTTTTATTAGTTTAATTAGGTAAATTTGAATTAAACAATGTTAACTTATGTTCTCATTAACAGCAAAAATACCATTATCCTGTATTAAGCATAGAAAAAATTTAGTTCAAATTAACATTCTTCTAAAATGCCACATGGCACTTTATTTTTTGAAGGCTTACATTTTAAATATCTCAATTGTTGCATATTTTACTTATCTTTAACAGAAGTTTTTAAAAATAAAAAAAAGCGGAATTGGAATGTTCCTAACACAAAGAAATGATAAATGTTTGGGGTGATGGATACCCCAATTACCCTGATTTGATTATCACACATTGTGTGCCTGTGTCAAAACATCACATGTACCCTATAAGTAAATACAAGTACCCATAATAATTACAGAAAAAAGAGAAGTTCATCTGTCAATCATATTTAGCAATTGCAGAGTTTGTCCTTAAAATTTTGAATGATATTTTATATATATATAAATAATGTAAACATCCATTACCCATGATTATTATTTATCCATAAATGATATTATATTGTACTTTAAGACATAAATATTATGGATTCTATAGCTAGAAAGGACCTCACAGAATATCATCTAGCCCATTCCTTGGGGCACACTGATGGATGCCTACCCAATAGTGATCCCCTCTTCTTCTTGCTGATATTGTTCATATTTTAACCACCCACATTTTCTGTGGGTTCTTACCCAATGCCAGCAATTGAAAATTAATCAATTAACTTAATCCAGTTGTTCTCATTAGAGATGGCATTAACTTACTGAGGCATTTGGGAGATTTGTGGGTATATTTTGGAATGCCACAATGATGGGAGATGTGGCTTGTATTTATTTGGCTTGTCAAAGAATGCTGGTTGTCCTGCAATGAGTGAGACATTTCCACACAATGAATAATTCCCTACACACCTCACAACTTTTGAATGTTCTGCCAAAACTTTAATTAACAAAAAACCTGCCTATAATATTTTGAGCCCAGAATCTAAACCAAAGAATTTTTGTATAATCTTAACATATACTAACTTTTCTGAAAATCTAATTCTCATATAATTTGAAAGATTTAAACCTCCTAAGGCTCTAAACCTCTAGGTTGGTCATAAAGCAATTTTCCTTGGAAAATTCTGGCATTTTATCTCTAAATAAAAAATAGAAATAGAGGTACTATCTAATTTTCCCCCCATTCCCTGGGAAAGGGACCCAGGCAGCACCAATAATGGAAAGGAGAAGAATACAGTGGGGACTGTATGAACATGGGTGGCAGAACCTGTGAATCCAGTGCAAGAATCTTGAGACCCTAGGGAGCTGAGACAGATTTGAGAGTGGAATGCAAGTGACAGGCACCAGCTTATGATTGTAATAGTTAAGGTGGCAGCATTCAGTACAAATGCACACAAACTTCAAACAATAAAGAAGACTGTGAATTAGGAACTTACATTGTTTGGACAGAAAATTGAAATATCGGGTAATTTTCAAATGCGATAATAAAAGTTCTGAAATTTAGAAGGCAGTCTGTGAAGGATGGGATAGGAAATTAAAAAAGACTATTAAAAATCTGGGCATTGCAAGCCTATTCAAGGAGACAACAGAGTTTAGAATTTAGACGATGAGTGTGGACAATGGCAGAAACAAGAACATTAGTATTTAAACAATCCTTGATTTCAATCATGGTACCAGGAACTGCTCTCCACACCACGGTCCATTTCTACTCTAGACATTTTGGCATGTGAGTAAAACAGCTTGATTAAAGCCCGCCTTTTTTCCTGGCTAACAAAGGTGAAAAAAAAAACAACTGGAGCTAGATTTTCAAACAAATTCATCTGCCAAGGTTGATTCTGGATGAACGAAGTGCGTAACTTGCCATTTGTCATGTTCTGACTTTTCTTTATAGACTTTAGTATGCTGGTTTCTGACCACCCACAAAATCCTTAGCACACACTCACCTCATGAAACCTAGATAATCTATATTCCCTTCCCTCCATTTATCCTGAAGACTGTGAAACAGATGATGCAGCTCTGCCTGAGTTATTTAGAGAGCAGAACACTTACTATGCAGCAGAAATAATATTTCTGTATTTGCATCAGGAAACATACTTTGTGGCTCTATGAACTGCTAAATTCCTTTGCTCGTGGCACACATAAACTGAAAACCAGAGTCTAAGTTAGGACAGGATTACCCTATACCTCACATTCAATTATTTTAAAGAGCCCCACGGCCCCAGACTCAAGGATTGACAAAGTCTCTCTGTTCAGAGAGGTTGACAGTTAGCCAAGTGCTATGATGAAGTAAATCATTTCATCTCAGCAATTGCTCACAGCCCTGACAAGTACCCAGTGATTTCCAGTGCATACTTAGGACACGATTTTTTATATAATGGGGATATATAAACTTGGTGACATTTTGGAACAGTGACTTGGTAACAGTTTGGTACAATGATTAAAATAATCACAGGCTGTGTGCAGTGGTTCACACCTGTAATCCTAGCACTCTGGGAGGCCGAAGTGGAACAATTACTTGAGCTCAGGAGTTTGAGACTAGCCTGAGCAAGAGAAAGACCCCATCTCTATTAAAAAAGAAAAATTAGCTGGGTGTTGTGGTGTGTGACTATAGTCCCAGCTACTCGGGAGGCTGAGGCAGGATGATCGCTTGAGCCCAGAAGTTTGAGGTTGCTGTGAGCTATGATGATGCCACAGCCTTCTACCTGGGGCAACAAAGTGAGACTCTGTCTCAAAAAAAAAAAAAACCATCACAGAACTTATCTACCAATTTTGGCAATAAGAGAATTCCCAGTCAAAAAGAAACAATAAAAACTATTCAAATGAAATACCTAATGCCGTGACACATTTCTAAAATAAAAGTTATTCAGTGATCTTTTATCTCCATTCCAGAGCATATAATTTCTCACAATAAAGTTGAAAATCATCATTATAAGGTTTATAAATTCACACACATGCACACACAAAATTTTCTTTCAAATATCTTCTTTATATCCAGTTTTGAGTTAAGCTTTAGGTATAATCCAGAAGTTGGAGAATACATTCTTGAAAATATCTCAAATAATTGGTAAAAGTCTATTTTAATTATTGGTTAAACAGTAAGACATGGAGATAATAGCACTGTAAATTTTCTTGGGCTGATGTCATAACCAAAAATTTGATGGCAAGTGTGTTGAAGAGCTTCCCCCAGATTCCATCTGTGCCCAAAGTTTACGAATAAATATAAATTTATAAATTAAGTTTTGAAAATTATAAATATATAATGATTTAATAAGAAATCACTTTACTCAATGATTAAATACTATATTTATAATCATTCAATAAAATGTCTTTATTTCTATTCTAACTTAAATCAACTGGAAAAAATTCTAAGTATCCACTTTTACTTGCTAAGCTACTTTTAAGATTATAATACTAATTTTACTGTGGAATACATGCAAAATGGCATGGCAAAATGGAAATACAAGGGAATATACTGTACCTTGTTTTACCTGTAAGGAACACACACCTGACAAAAGGCAATTTTCACATCCAAGGTTGGTTCACTGCAGTAGTATAAGAAATGGAGGCTCATAAATACCTGCAGGAAAAAAAATGGGTCATGAATTTCCAAATCACTGACTTTTCATTACTTAATAGTACAGATTTTAACATAATTTGAATTTACACAAGATGTTATGCACAAAATATATTCAACATAATCTTTACCTGGACAAATACGAGGTATTTTTCAAAAATTTTAAATATAAAATAATAAAATAAGGTAAAAATTTCCTGTCTTTTACGGTGATCAATGTCATCACAATCATAAAGGTGAAAGAAATTGTATATATCTAAGTTAAAGTGAAGTACATCCTATTGTACAGCACTTTCAGTTCTTGGCACCTAATTTAAAAAAATAACTCAAGC